TACCGTCCTCGTCTTTGATGCACCTCACTTGATCCAGATTCCTGATATCATAATCCAGATTAAAAGGGACTAGCTCAGATCTCATTGAAAGATAAAGACAAACAGGTAGTTAGAAATGACTTTCCCGCAAAATATGAAACCTCGAGATGATTTCAGGAGAAAAAGATCTGTTGGTCTATGGCATAAGTTTATAGACAACTTTAGCTCTTTTACTTTTTTTAACGGAATGTAGCATATGTCTTATGTGAATCTCTATATCCATCCCTCTCTATTTTGGCCACTCTCTACTTGATGTGATCATTTCTAATCTTCTCCATTCTTGTATGATTTTATTCTTATCTAAAAGAACTGCATTTTCACAGCATTCATCTAGTGGACAGTTTGGTCTTAGAGGCCGGCATTCACTTCAGTGTATATTGCTGTCTTTTGCTTTACTCTTTTTAGGCATCTTCATACTGCATAGAATTCGACACTCCATTCAATTGTTCTATCTTAGAGCTTGTTTGGCCAAGCTTCTGGGAGGCCAGAAGTTTTTTTTTTTTTTTATCAAAAAAGTACTTTTTGGAAAATTTAAGGTGTTTGGCCAAAATGAAAAAGTACTTTTGAGCAGCAATAAAAGCAGTTTTTCTACTTTTGGGGAGAAGCTACAAATTCTAGCTTCTTCCAAGAAGCAGAAGTAGAAAATTAATTTGTTCAAGACAAAATAACCTTACAATAAATTTATATTTTCTAAATTATCTCTCAGTAATTTAACATTTCTCTTTTCCTTTTCCTTTTTTATTTTTATTTCTACTGTACATTTCTTCTCTTTTTTATTTTAATCAAATTTTTATTCTCTTTCTCTTATTTCTAAAAGTAGATTTTAGATTTATATTGAATGATGTATTTTGGCATATTTGAATTATCATTTAAACAATAAGTAATACCAAGCACTCAATGTTATTGATTTGGAATAACTATGTTTTATATTGATTAGAATTTTAATTTATATATTTACTTTACGTTTTATATTTTAATCGAATTCTTTTATAGTAAATATTAAAATTATTTTTCTATTCTAAATAATACTAATCATAAATTGAACCTTTAAATTTTAATGTCCTTTTTCATAATTGGACACTTAAAAGTACTTTTTTAAAAGATTGACCAAACATAATGAGCTTGCAAAAAATACTACTCAAATGAATTGGCCAAACACATATTGCTATTTTGCAAAAGTACTTTTTCAAAAAGCACTTTTCAAAATAAGCAGTTTTTGGCAGCTTGGTCAAATGGGCTCTTAGTTCTATATGTTACATCCTCGTCTATCATTTCCATTCTCCTTGAAGATTGATTCTAGATCTGAATTGTGTTTGTTTAGGCTCCAATAATTCCATCCAATCTCACTTCATCTTCGTTCTTGTGCAGGTTGAACTTGCAATGCATAGATTATGTCTTTGCTTCTACTATTCTAAACCCTTCTATACTGCTTTTTTGACTTCCCTACTAGTTTCGTCAATTAAAATAATATCATTTACAAATAGTATGCACCATAGAACGTCATCTGAAATACTATTAATTAGCTCATCTAGGATAAACAAGCAAATTCTTAAGGCAATTCCTTGGTTTACTCCCATGGTCTCTGTATCTCCTCTCTCATTGTTCTTATATTTGTGACCTTTAATTAATATTTATCTTTGATGGAATTTATATTTGTTGTGGACTCTTTTTCATGCTAAGCACCTATTCTTATCTCATTGTTCTCAAATTTGTGACCTTTCATTCATAGTTGTCTGTGATGATATTTATATATTTGATATGGTTTCTTCTCATGCCAAGCACCTATCAAAGAACTTTCGTGGTGCTCTATTGCATGCTTTCTCCTGATCAATAAATATCATGTGAAGATCCTTCTTGCTCTTGTTAAATGTTCTTCGTAGCAAAAATATAACCTCAGTTGTAGTTTTACTAGGCATAAGCCCCACTTGTCTCTATCACCCTTGTCTATGCCCTTTAGTTCTTTCCCACATTTCAACCTATGGTTCATAACTTTAACCACAATAGTATGTTGCAATCTTGAATTTCTCCTTTGTTTTTATCTAAGAAAATCAAGATGCTCTTTCTTCACTCGTTTGACATTTTTTCACTCCATAATATGACTTGGTTAGGCATACTACTGTGCTCTTCCTAGCCATTTCCATACTTCTACAGGAGTACCATCTAGACCATAGAATCTTTTAACCATCATATTCGTTCTTTTTAAAGAGGCATAATCATATGAATCTAGCTAGGCTTCCGTCTGTTCTGGTCGTATAATAATATGAATGTAGCTAAGGCTTCCGTCGTGTCAAAACTTGTTAGGACATAGACATTCTTGGTTCAAGTTTTACCTCTCTTCTACCTCTCTGATGCTAGCTTATATAGCTTATGTTTTCAATTTTTGTCAAATGAGTAACAAGTTGAAACTAGTCTTTTGTTGAACCAACCTTAGCTTTTTGTTACACCAACCTTAACCACCTCTTGTAATTTCCATTCCACCTTGTATAGTTCTTTTTGTCCACCAGTTTTTAGTCTGTTTTAGCTGTCACTCGCTTTGAAATAGATTTGGTGCTTTTTCTAGGAGATTGGATATAAGTTTTTGTGATGTATAGCCTGTTTGGCCAAGCATCTCAAGAGGCCAAAAGTGCTTTTTTTCCTAACTTGAGATGTTTGACCAAGCTTTTTTTTTTNGGGATAAAAGAAAGTGCCACTAGGAAGGTAGTCAAAACATCAGTTCAGAAGCAACCATACAAGCGCAAGGGCATGGACGTAAGCAACTACAGATGATTATAGGCAAGTAAGGACATCAAAAAGGTCCGTAATAAGCTCACACCTTTACGAGAGTCAAGGGTTCTCCCTAAGTACTACAACGAAAGACTAGTTGAGGAGATAAGAAAGAATGATTCAACCTAAGCATAACGACCTAAAGAGGAAATAGTCGTGTAACAACAATCTCGCAACAATATTGTAAGCATTCCAAAGGAAAGTCGCACATACCGTGGCTAATAAACGGGAAGTAAGAATTAAAAGTAATATTCGAGATCATATGAGTTGTATGAAAACTCTGGCAAGTGTAGGCACTAAGATAAGCTAAGTATGGACGCAACAAGGGGGCAAAAAGCCTAAGAAAAGTAATAGCTTACGTTGAAAGAAAGCTAGGATGGGACGAAAAATTATTTGACCAATGATCCAGAGTTATTACATTATGGATACACTCAAGATTTTGGAGCATTATCCAGGCAGCATATTTGTTGACAATCATACAACTATAGAAGACTCTGGTATAAGTTAATAGAAAGAATTGAGTCCAGGGCATAGACAAAAGATTGAATTGTTAAAAGATTGTATCATGGATATTCCAACGCCCATGAAAAGCTAAGGTAATAACTGATATCATGAGCTACGGATCAGAAGATATCTTAAGCCTACATAAAGGCTGATCAGAATAAAGAGGAAACTAAAGAATTACATCACCCAAGTAAATCAGGAGTCTGACTATTGGACCTAGAAAAATTATAGAAGTTGTGCTTGAGAACATGACAAGAATCACTCTTAATATCAGATGTTCAAGAGAAATTACACAACAACCATAATCTATAATGGCTCTACAAGGAAGCCAGTTAGAAGAAGTACCAGCCTCATAAGAAGTCGGTACGAAGCTCCCACCAGATTGTGTATGTACCAGAGGTGCGAGTATTATAATAGAGCTTCAAGTTATGAACGTGAATTACACCTAGGTGGAAGGGAGGTTATGAAAGAGATAGAAGATATGATACGAGATTTTAAGTAAGTAAGGTAAAAGTGAACAACGTACGAAATACTATAATGCGGAAATTGTGAATAGTCCATACTTCGGATAGAAGGTCATAAGTATCCGGATTCAATATCTAGGAATGATAGCAGCATCGTCAGTGGCATATCTTCTACCTATGGTTTCTACATATTTAGAGGTGTAGTTAAAAAAGTATAAAAGAGTTAGAGACGATGTGACGTCTCGCTTGATATTCCGGAATAGCATAAGGAAATCTATGGTGCAAGCAAGTTGAAGAAAGGTTGCAAATGGATATGTGTATGTTGCAAGATAAAGTATGATAGAGCGAAAAAGGTTTAGGAAGACAGGAGTAAGGATAAGAAAAGGCGAGTGAGAAGGTGACGAGAATGGATAAGTCCCTGGGATTAAGCCTATGAAAACAAGAAGAGCTGATGGTTTCTCTAAGTTATGGAAAGCTCAGTATAGCCTGAATGAACTCAAAGGAATCTAATAGCCTGTTTGGCCAAGCTTCTCAAGAGGCCAAAAGTGCTTTTTTCCCAAAAGCACTTTTTTTTCCTAACTTGAGGTGTTTGGCCAAGCTTATTTGGGGAAAAAGTGCTTTTGGGAAGAAGCAGAAGCATTTTCAGAGAAGCAGAAAAAAGTAGCTTCTTTCCAAAAGCAAAAGCAGAAGCAGTTTTGACTTTTCTTCTTACCTAAAATACCCTTAACAAAATATAGTATATACCAAAATAACCGTTAAACCTAGTACTTAGGATATTAATGTATAAGTATTTCTTCTTATATATATAGTGACTTTAGGGGTGAATGCTTTTATAATTTTAATATATTTAATTTATATTAAAAAAATTAACTACTTTTTAATTTTGTTTTCATACTTTTCTTAAATAAAATGAAAAGATTTAATTATTGTCTGTAATAAAAAAAATTTAAGATTATTTATTTACTTATAATATTAACTATTAAGTAAATCTATTCATGTCCTTATTGTAATTTCATACTTAAAAGCACTTTCTAAAAAGTTTGGCCACACACAAATTAATTGCTCAAAAGTGCGTTTTAGAGTGATTAGCCAAACACAAACTGCTTCTCTCCAAAAGTACTTTTTTCAAAAGCACTTCTCAAAATAAGCTGATTTCTCCCACTTGGCCAAACAGGCTATTAATGTGTATTCATGCTTCTTCCTAATACAATGTTGAAATTGATCTCACAGGTTCAAAACACATTTCGAGATCTTGAAGAATCAAATATTATTTGCCCATACATGAGCGATGCCATAAAAGAGATATCTAAAGCATGCCAAGCCTTTGAAGCCAAAGAATCAGCGCCTTCAGTTGCTGGTATTTAATTTTCCAGGTTGATGTACGCTGTTGTTTGTGAAATGTTCCTGAGTTATTTCTCCTGTGATTAACAGTTACAGCATTGCACAACCTTCAGTCTGAGGTCACAAAAGTTTACATATTGAGGCTCTGTTCATGGATGCGGACTACAACTGAGAAGATATCAACAGATGAATCCTGGGTCCCAGTATCTATTTTAGAAAGGAACAGATCTCCATATACAATTTCTTCCTTGCCTCTGGCTTTCCGTTCAATTATCACATTTTCAATGGATCAGATCAATCTGTAAGTTAAAGATGTCACCAACTACACACCACAGTAAGCTGAAGGGTCTTCCCTTGCTGGCTTCTTTTCAGTATGCAAAATGCTTGTTCAATTTCCTTTGATGTTTGTCAGGAAGTAATTTAATTTAGCGTATATTATTTAATAATTCGTATATGTGCATCCAAATGTATGTGTCTGTGAAGCTATCAAGAGTGATTCAAGTATACATGGGCTCGCTCATCAGTACAAACAGAAAAATATACGTTAAAAGTAGATTCTTGTGTTTCCTCAGTGCTGTTGACACACACTCGTGTCCACGTTTCTGCTAAATAGGGGGGAATTTATTTGATTTGCATTATACCGTGGTTTAGTGATACTTACTATAAAGAGTTATGCTTATTGATACCATTAACTATTAAGAAAACTCCTCCTTGAAGGTTTATAAGTTACAAACAATTGATTGAGTGCATACATAATTTCTTGTAAGCAAAGATGTAGCACTGTTGTCTTCTTAAGTTGTTTGGGCACTGTAATATAGGCCTTCAGGAAACAGGCTTGAAATTTTTACTTGGAATGAAATTTGAAAAATATCGGAACTTTTGGTCGGTTGTTACGCTCTCATTTCTGCAATCTTGTTCTGTCCAGAATGATTCAGTCTTTGAGGAATGAGGCTATGAAGTCAGAGGACATATTCATGCAGCTTCAAGAAATTCAGGAATCTGTTAGACTTGCCTTTTTGAACTGTTTGCTTAATTTTGCCGGTGTGTAAAGCAGTTGATACCTTTTTCTTTTCTTTTTTAGTTGATACTTGATACCGCAGCATTTCAGTAGCTGATATTCATTGTATGATTGGAATATGATACAAATTTTTGCACTCTGATTAGGCCAGCTGGGGCACACTGGCAATCAGCTTCTGGACGAATATAATAGAGAAAGTTTGCATTTTCAAAACGGGCATGCTGAACCAGAAGAAAAATCATCGGATCCTCTTCCTGGAAGTATTGTAGATCCACATCGACAGTTGCTGATGGTTATAAGTAATATTGGGTATCTCAAAGATGAACTTGCTCATGAATTGTACAGCAAGTACAGACGAACTTGGCAGCAGCCTAGGTACAAAAATGGCTCTCTGGTACTTGATAGCTTGTAAATCAAGTTAAAATAGTACAAGTAGCTCTCTAGTACTGTATAGCTTGTCTATTTTGTTTGATTTTGTTCCGTCGAATATAATGTCAGAAGCATTGGAAACAATACACTCAGTGGTGACAGGACTAAGGGTACTTCAGTATATCAGTGTGTTGCAGAACTACATCCCAAGTTGGTTGCATAAAGAGTGGCAATTCAATGGGCAACAGGATTTTTTATGTTTTCCCAACAACTGCAATTGCATACTTTATATAAGATAACCATGGGAACTAAATTGACTAGTTAAGGGCCTGTCTCTCTTAACTTTTTAAATGGAAAAGTTTTTGCCCAGGAATTTGAAAGCTGTCTTTGAACAAAGAAGGACTTATGTGCTATTAGGACTTAAAATCTTCTCTTGAGTAGTTCTTTTCGGCAGTCATCTTGTATTTAGAGACTTTCACAAGATGATATTTTGTCGAGCTACCTAACATTTGAATTATCATCATACTATCTAGTGTTGTTAAAGGCCCACCTGAAATCGCTTCAGTCGTGAGGGTTAGTGCAATGCAGGGCACTTCATCTTGCTTAATATATGCTTTAGTACAGGCGCCACACGTACCTTAACATTCGTGTGCACTTTCTTGAATAGAAAAACAGTAAACAATAAAATGGAAAAGACAAAGTAATGTACTGATTGTTAAGGATGCATCGTGGGTGATTATTTTAGTGGTTAGGAATAGGAAATTAGATAATTAGAAAACAAAAGTAGTCTCTAATCTGAATTAGGAAATCTTTATTAGAAATTTAAAATTTCTTTGATTAACATGGTTTTCTTCATATGTTCCAATTTATTAAGGTTCTTTAATCATTTTATAGAATTGTTTGTATCCTTAGTTATTTTTTCTTGCATTAAATATTTATATTTTTTGTTTTGCTGTCCATTATGTTTTTTGTTTACTTTAGCTCTCGCTTTGTACTTAAAGCCTTAGCAGACACTTGGCGTTTTTCTACGTTTTTTTCCCTTTGCTGAAGCTGATACTGAAGGGCTATGCTACCTTAGGGGTAAGGATGAAGAGGATGGTGATATGCAAGATCTGATTACGTCTTTCTCTGGGCTCGAAGAGAATGTGCTTGAGCAGTATACTTGGGCGAAGGTATGAGTGATTCATATCTTCAGCAGACCAAAAGCTGTTATATACGTACTAAGATCCATACATATGTGTGTAATGTTTGCACTATTTCATCTATAATAGACATCCTTCTGTTTTGTTTCACTTTTTTCTTACACAATGTGTGTGACAGCCTACATTAGCTCCCAGTATACTTTGTGCTTGATATTGGTGGAGTACATTTTTCTAAAAGAACAGACGATCGCCTCTTAAACTTTATCTTATCCCTGAATGTTGATCACTAATTATACTATTTTTGGAATATTGTCAGACAAATTTGATTAGAACAGTTGGTGTAAACTATTTGTTGGAGGGTGGTATACAATGGGGTGCTGCACCAACAGTTAAGGTGATAACTCTTTCTCATTCTAGCCTTCTATAACAGAAAACGTTTTCCACCTGGAATAATAGCACAATTGTCTGTGTTGCAGGGAGTGCGAGATGCTGCTGTGGAATTGCTACACACTTTAGTTGCTGTACATGCAGAGGTTAGTTCTCCTACGCTTTTCTGGGGATATTGTTGCCCGCTCATTTATTTTTGGTGGATGGAGGATTCAATTGATTTATCTGGTGCAGAGATAAAAGTTTAAACCTCAAATCTCTATCTGTACATGGTGGCTTTCTTAGCAAAACTGCTCTTCGGCATTGCTCTGTCTAACTTCCTAACTTTGGATTTTCTCTTACAGGTCTTTGCCGGTTGTAAGCCTCTGTTGGATAAGACACTTGGTATTCTTGTTGAAGGCCTAATGGACACTTTCCTAAGCCTTTTCCATGAAAACCAAGACAAAGATTTTACGGTATTAGACGTGAATGGCTTTTGTCAGCTTATGCTTGAGGTCAGTTAAACTGCTAGTGCTTCAAGGAATCACCTTTCTGCTGTTAGACAGCTTCTCTTTGGATGGTGTAAATACAAGTTGGTTCTTTACTTTTGGTTCTTTGACTGCTTTTATATTGCTTAAGGGTTTTTGCCCTTTGCGGCAATTAGAAGCAGAAAAATACTTAAAAACAAAAATGCAGAGGCTTTTGTTTCTCTAGATATTTTTATGGACTACCAAAAGTTGATAGAATAAAACACGGAACTGAAATGGAGAGGTTATGCTCTCCCATGACTAAGTGGCTGGCGTTGACTCTGATAGTCTTTATGGCTTAATCTTGCAGCTTGATTATTTCGAGACCATATTGAACCCTTATTTTACACATGAAGCAAGGGAGTCTCTGAAAACTTTACAAGGGGTCCTCTTAGAGAAAGCGAGTGAGAGTGTGACAGAGACTATTGAGACTCCAAGTCATAGCCGTCGGCCAACACGTGGAAGTGATGATGTACTTCAGGATGAAAGGCAGCAAGGGACGTCTGTATCACCTGATGACCTGATTGTATGAATACTTCCTCTTTATCGACTTTTTTTTTCAGATTCTGGGACATGTCTTTTCTCCATGCAATCTGCTTAGACATAATTAGACATGCTATCACATGGTTCAGTCCAGCCAGCAAATTTGCTGTTGGCAATGATATTTGCCTTGCACCAAAAGTTAACTAGTATAGACATCATCATTAAAGTGTTTAGCCACCCTTCCTTGCATACCTTTGAATTGTTGGAAATTTCACAGGCTCTTGCGCAGCAGTATAGTTCTGAGCTACTTCAATCTGAACTTGAGAGGACCCGAATCAATACGGCATGCTTTGTGGAGTCAATTCCTCTAGACTCTGTCCCAGAATCAGCAAAAGCAGCTTATGCTTCTTTTAGAGGATCAATGGATTCTCCTGGTAGAGATTTTAGAGGATCTCAAAATATTGGACCAGCAAGCTTCTCCAAGCATAGACGTCGATAAATTATAGGTCTATTTTCTTTTCTCAAGGTATTTCCTCCATAAATCTTGTGCAGTTGTACTAAAGTAAATTTACAGTCTTTTCTTGGATGAGAGACATTTGGCTGATAATTTAACTATAGTCACAAGCCTCATTTTAATTTCAATTTTGCTGATAATGAAACCTTAATCACAAACTCATTATAACTCATTCCTGTTTCCAGGACGAGTTGAGTTTAACAGTACCAAGAATGTAAGATGATTGGCTGTTGGACGACAGTCTTATGTCCTGTGTATAGTGATTTCAACTTTTCCAGTGACCATCCCATATCTCCAGCTGCACAGTGGGGAAGCCTCTTCATTCGAGTTGTGAAACACATAAGACCATAGGTGACTTGACAAATTAATGTCAAGGTGTATCGCAAAAGTTTTCGTTCTATCCAAATTTAGCAAGGGCCATAGTATTGTATGGCTTCCAATTTTGTTTACTTTTAGAAGTCAGCTTCAGCTGCTTTGATCTAAGATAATCTTTTGGAGAAGGAATTGGTCTTCATTAGATCAGTATAATAATGATGGAAAAGCAAGGTATTTCTCTTTGGGAAATATGCTGTTTTAAAAAGCCCATTCAGTTTCTGTATTTTCTTGCCAGAAAATTTTGGTGAAAAGTGGGGAGTTACTTGCAGTTTCTCTTGTTTCATTATCCAGTTCATGCAATGATGCATCCTTTTTAAAGCTAGTGATGGTATTGAAGGTTCTATCTTACGTGCAATATGTTAGCAAACAGTAGGTTTGGATTTGCGCAATTTTTGAGTTTCATTTTTTCACTATCACTATGTTGAGCATTTAGAATAAAAGAAATGTACTCAGAAGAAGTGTCAAAGTTTTATGAAGCTACTTTTGTTCCATTAATTTAAGAGTTAATACCCTCAAACCCGCCTAAACTATACAATATTTGTCAGTTTTCTACCTAAACTATTGCTTGTACCCGAAAACCCCTTGAACTATATCCCCCTTCATAATAAAATTCCCCCGTCTCATTCTTACTAGCGCATATGATACACCCTCTAAATAATTTTTAAAACATGTCATGTGGCAATCCACGTGGATATTTAATTATGTTAATCATAAAAACATGCTTAATTAATATATGTTAATCTAATTACGTGAAGAAAAAAAAGTGAATTTTGTTACACCAGTCTGTCATTTACTCCTCTATTTGCATTCATCGGAGATGAGCTCTAAGTAGTGATTCTCTTCATTAATCACGGTTTCTACCATCGATTACTCTGTCTACTGTTGCTGCTATTTGAAATCGGGATTAAATTAGGGTTTTGTGATTGTCTGTTGAGATTTGTGATTTTTGTTAGTAAACAAAGACAGAGAAGAAGAAGAAGAAGAAGAGAAACAGAGAAGATGAATATATATTCAAATAATGAATTCTTTGTCCTAACTTCTTGCCTTGTTATTAGTAATTTATTTTCTCGGTGCTACTTTATTGGGGATTTTGTGTTCCTTTTTTCAAATAAATTTGGGTAAGAATGAAGGATGGATAAAACGAGAAAGATAAGAAATAAACTCAACAATAACAAGAGAGAATTTCATATAGATTAAGATGAAAAAATAGAGAAGAAAGGTCTAATATATAAAAAAAAAAAAAAAGGAGAAAATATATGTTTTAAAAAAAGAGGCTAATTAGCCGTTAGTTGTCGTCGGATAGGCCCATTTTAATGGTTATTATCACCCTTCACGCACTTTTAGACGATTTATTTCACATAATATGCCACATAAGCGACAGAGGGTTTTTATTATGAAGGGGATATAGTTCAGGAGTTTTTCGGGGATAGACGATAGTTTAAGTAGAAAACTGACAAAGATTGTATAGTTTAGAGGGTTTGAAGGTATTAACTCTTAATTTAATAAATTTGTTTCTTCGCTTTGGCCTGAAAATTTGGAAGTTTATACAAACCAGCTGAGGATCGTATATATCTTTTAGCTCAGAGGAACGAGGATTTTCTATCCTCTCCGGCCGCTGAGTTTGAACCAAAAAATTGTAGAAATATGATATTTTTTGGGATGGTTTTTAACTTTTGATTTTTGCTTGCCCCATGGATAGAACGTTAGGTCTAAAGACTACCAAATTGTCTACTTAAAGCTCGCATGTGTGATGTAGGTCACTGATAATTTGTGTCATCGCACTTTAATATGTTGCACTTTCTACTCTTTTTTTTTTTTGGGCATATCGTAGTAAGGAAAAGAAGTGTGGGTACTCATTCGAATAGCTGAAAATAGGGGTGTACACCGACCAGGTTGCCTCGGATATTACAAAACTAAACCAACTATATCGGTTTGGATTGGTTCGGTTTTGTCGGGTTTTTCAATTTTTTCGGGTTTTTTTTGTTACGTGAATATTATTCAATCTTACTTTGTTAAAGTTATAGATAATGTTTTGACAAGTGGATAATATATGTTTACTAAAAATTAAAAATGTTAACAAATATATGATCTATTAAAATATTCTTATGGAAGAACTTTTTAGTAACATATGATAATTATTTTCTTACTCACCTCACAATAAATTTTCGATGATGTATGCTTTCAAGGTTAATTAAATTTAATAATTAAACATAAAAATCAATATGATACCTAAATAATGATATATTCTCTTTAATTTTAAATGATTGAAACACCACTTCAAATTCGAAAAAGATATAAGAAATCTTGACATATGAATATGAAAGAACAAAGAAATGATTGACGCATTTTAGTAATACTTAAGAAAGTGATACAACCCATTATTTAAAATAAAATAAAAAATAAATGCACTTCATAGTTCTATTAAATATTCCCATGAGAGGATCCCAAATATTTTTAGATATTTTTTAAAGAAAATTCTATATAAAGTCATAAAAGTATATATACAAATTATATATTTATATGTCAGTTTGGTTCGATTTTTTTATTCAATACCAAACCTAATCGGGTTTTTAAATCGATTAGATTTAGTTTTTCGATTTGGTGCGGTTTTCCAGTTTGGTTTGAACACCCCTAGTTAAAACTACTATAACACTAACTCCTATTTTTCTGCTTTAAGAGAAGCTAGCCTTCTAGCTCGTTTTATAGCATTGAAGAGAGAGATAGAACATTAAAGCGGGGACAAAGATTCAAGGTCATCCACTGTAAGGGATATTTGTGTACTTCACCCACACTACAAATGCATCAAAACTTGGCGTTGCATAGACCATTAGTATTAATGAATTGGGGAATCTAGAGATATCAACTGAGGTGTAGTGGTCATTAGACCACTAAGATATGAATTTGTGCACTACAATTTGAATCGTGACATCTTGACTATTGAATTGTCAGCTGAAGGACGAATAGTTTATTTTTTATGAGCAAACCAAACTAACAAAACAAAATAAAAGTCATAAAGTAATATAGCTTACAGACAAAAACCTAATCCAATTGTGGGTTTATCCTCTCTTACATCACATTGAAATGGACATGAGTACAATCAGATACATAAAATAAGAGGAAGTGGACTTGAGACTGTGAGAGTTGCATTAGCCATATGTCCACAAAGCCTTTCCTTTTTTACACAAATAACCGGCCAACTTCACTGTTCTTTCTCTAGCCGGTATACATAGATTATATATAGTTATGCACATATTATAAGTGAATTATGTATACATTATACACTCGCCGGCTATTTTTAGTTCAAGAGATTAGGTGATCGGTTATTTGAGTTAATTCTTCTTCTTTTATCCCAATTACAGTTTGTCATTTGAAGCCAACATGAGCTTTTTGCAACGTCCCTTTTACGCACAGCTGCTAAATGTGGTCTTTTTCATGTGCTTTTCTTTTGGTCCATTTGTTATGGGCCCAGTAATAGTGACATTTAACATGCACCTTCATTTTCACGGGCCTTACTTTTCAACTTATTACCCACTTGTTAATTTATGCTTTTCACCTTTTTTTTTTTGCACCGTTTTCCTTCCTTTTTTATTTCCTTTTTTTCATTCTTTATTTCCTTTTTCTATTTATTTTTTGTGCCGAAGCATTTCGAAAAAAGATCATCCTTATCTAGTAAAATCTTGAAACTGTATTATCTTTTGGTTATAAACTAGTCTTTGAGTAACAGTAAAGTTGTTCCCAAGTTCAAGTCAAGGAATTAGCCATTAAATGTTAGCGTTAGAGTAGGCTCCCTACAGCACACCCTTGGAATGCGACTCTTTCTCAGACCTGCATGAATGCGAGATATTTCATGCACCGAACTATTTTTTTTTCTTGCAAGTTAATAATTGGCATAATCTTGAACAAAACTTTAAGAATGCATTCCTCTAACAGCTTGCTTATCAATTTTTATTAGATATTGGCATGATTGTTTTTTCCTTTTACTTGTAACTGCATAGGAAAATTTGTGTAAGGCCATAAGGGGACGGGCTATATCACCAACATGAGAAAAAAGGTAAAACATTTCTAGGAAGATTTTGGTCCCTCTCCCACGCCTTTCTAGCAGCCAAAGCCATTTTCCATACCGCTGCCTATTCAGTTAAAAAAAAAAAAAATACAAGGAAAAGGATCAGGAGAAATGTTGAGGGAGAGTTCGTTAAATAAAACATGATTCTAGTTTTCTTGATAAAGGAAATATATTACAACCACATGGGGGCTATAATTTTTTTTTAAATATGGAGAAAGGCGTTATATGATTCTTTTTCCGTGGAAATATGATGTCTTCTGGAATTCCCCTAAAAGTTATATAGAATATAATCCATCAAGATCATAGTGCTCAAAAGTTATAAACATTTTCTAACTTCTGATATTTTTTTGGTCCTATAAAACATTTTTCAATATGTCACTAATGAGGAATTCTAACATCGTACATTGCCTAGGAGATTCTAAGTGTTGACAAAATATATTATATAAAACTAATTAAAACTTTAGATCCTTGCACTTGAGCTGAATTGAACTATTTTATGTCCAAAATAGCTAATGCCTTATCTTCCACATGTATTCTGTCATTCTGAGGATCATCTACTCTCTTTTTTTGTGTGTGTTCTTGGGATCGTCAATTCAATACTCTATTTTCATATTAGTTGATGATTTTATTTATTGTTTATTTGTACACCCCTCCGTTATAATCTGCATCCAAAATTTCTACCTGATCATACTCCTGAAATAAGTAACACTCCTGATTAGATATTAAAGAAAAGAAAACTGAACATACATACGAAATATCTTGATTGTTCTAAGAATCGAATTTCATTATTTATGATCCCTTTACTGAAAGGGAAAATAATTAGGGAATATAAATGTGATGAACCACTTATTTTAAAATGAATTCTCCGTTCCGAGGCCTTAAAAACTTCTTTTCAGCATCACCTCGATATGCGTGTGCAGTCCGGGCGCGTAGCCGGGAAGCCATTATGTGAAATCAGTAAAAGAAATGATGAATTTTGACCTTAAAATGCATTTAAGTTGACTTCCGTCAACATTTTGGGTAAACGGATCCGGATCCATGATTTGACGGTCCCGGAGGATCCGTGAAAAAATATGGGACTTGGGCGTATTCCCGGAATTGAATTCCGAAGTTCCAAGCCCGAGAAATAAATTTTAAAAAAAAATTATTTTCCGGAATTATTTATGAGCTTTGAAAATGAAATGAGTTTAGAATTTGATGGTATCGGGCCCGTATTTTGG